TGCGCCAAAGGATGTTGAGCCAGGATTAAGTATGGGATGCAACAAAAACTAAATATTGAATGGGAAAAATGTCAGATAGGTCACTACAAGATGTATTCCTTTAAGTTCACATAAGGTTATAAAAGATTGATAATTGAATATTAACATAATGCTATGAGTCTGCCTAACGTTTCCTATGCATTTCAATTAGCCATGCTTGCCAAAAAGTATTCTTATTTTAAAGGAAAGCAAGGCTATATGAATTTGAATGTAAGCATGAGGCCTATCTATATGATTGTGGGAAAATAACTATTAATCTTTTTTCATCTCCTTATGCCATTAAAGGTGAAAACAGCTCTTATTCAGGACGTACTCGTAGTTTCCAAGTCTACTTAATATGAATTGAGTTTTTTTATGCCTGGTTCACTGACCCTCGAGTGAAATCAATTAGAAAATTCAAGCAAAATTTTGCAGGAATGTTCTGGAATAAAGCATTGGAGAAACTGACTCTGGTATACCCCGGTGATGGATACTCGAGAAAAGTAATACAAATAAACATACGAGCCACGAAAAGCAGAAAGGCAGGATGGGGATTATTAAAAAAAGAAAGGAGGGGGAGTGCGGAGCCCATAATAGTGGATATGCCATACTGCCTAAGAACCAACAAAAATGCAGCCAATATTAAGAAAATGGAATATTAAGGTGACAACGAAGGAAAAGAATAACACTCTTCACATGTTCATCCACGCAGCATGAGGGAGTAGACAGATTGTATCGTTCTGGAGTTTACTGTATAACATAAGGCGTCTGCGAACGAAAATATATCGGCGAAAAAGGTAGAAAAATCATCGTACGAATCAGTAAACAAAGGCTCTGCAGGAAAATGGATGATAAAAGATCAGAAATAGCTGAAAATGTTGCACAGACTGAACACGAGATCAATTGGAAGGTGAAAGAAGGGCCTCAAACGGTTAAAACGCGATAAAATGGAAGAATAGGGAAACCCTTGAGATCCTTGCGTAAAGTAATTTAATGAATAAGAGGTTGGGAAAAGGCGAAGTCAGCGATAACTCTGTCTATTGTTTAAGCAAACTCGGATACAGCAAAACGAGCTAAAAGAAAGTGCCTAGATTAAGCAACTTTAGTCAACCGAAAGAAAAAAGATAGCAAAGAATAATTGGATGAGGAACATTAAGAAACTATGAGAAGACGCTTTCAGTTAATATAGGCTTTTAAAATAAG